AAAAAAAAAAAAAAAAACCTAAATTTTAGTTCTAATTAACAAGAGAACTAATTTGTTTTTTAGGTTATATATATCCAGCATGCATATTTTCAAGAAATGAGTGTTAAAAGTTGCAGTTTGAGAATTACATTAAAAACTACTCACCCACACATTCCATGGTTTCATCTAATGGTGCAAAACCATCTGGACATTCATCAAAGCAACGGCCTCTATGCAAATAAAAGCCTACTTTGCACTTGGTACAAAAGTCTTTGCTAAAGCAGGAATCACAGTTTTCTATTCTGCATCCTAAAACCAATTTTAAAGAGGAAAAGAGAAAGTTTCAGTCAAAGAAATTCACTTGCTTTGCAAATAAAATTTTCACAAACTCAACAGTTAACTCAACTAAAATTCTTGTGTTCAGAGAAGTATCGTTCAACTCATCTGTTTCCTAATGCCATCTAATTCTAAATCATCCCTACCTCTCCTGACAGCTCACCACATCAATAAGCTAAGAGAGAATGCCAGTACAGGGCCCTAGGCAGCATGAGACCTTTCAGAAATGTTTGCAACTCCAAACGGGATTAAAACAGCAAATTAAAAAAGAAGAAGAAAGAAAACACCCCCACTATAAATTACATTGCTGCCAGGATTGAAATCTTCTCTGTTCTTCAAAGGACCTACAATGGGGAACACAGTAGGAACACTTTAATCAGTGTTTGGGGATAGCAAATGAGTTAAGAATCCTGATTTTGAAAATATTTTAAATTACATGGTCTATTATCTAAGGCACTGGTCAATGCTGGCATCTACTTTGATCAGAGGGTGACTTGTCTTGAGTGGGGTGGAGCAATTCAGGTCATTTTGTTGAAAACCTACAATGTGTTAAAGGCTTTACATACATTTCCATTGAATCTTAACAATAATCCTACAAGGTGGGTAGTAAAATCTCTTTTGCAAATGAGGGACCTGAGACTAGGGGAAAGTAAGTCACATAGCTAGCAGTGGCTGAATTGGTTCTGAAAGCCACCAAAACTATCTACCTTTTAAATCCATTATCTTTTCTGTATACCTCACTAAATGAAGTCTGCTAGGAGAAATCTGTGAAGCAGATGTGCTTTCAGATGTTTTAGAACTGGGTGTGAATACCAGCGCTGTCCCTTTGGACAACTACATGCCCCGCTGAGCCTCCATTTCCTCCTGTATAAAACAGGGACATCACTAATCTTCAAAAACTATTTTAAAAAAACTTTGTAATAATATGTAAACAGATTGGTTTATAACAGGTAGCCTACAGGTAGAAGCAATAGAAAATTAGAAACATGTATTTTTCCACTAAACCACATGTAAAGGTATAAAAAGAATCAATAATTTACAGGCTTGTATTTTAGGTCAGATTCCCTGGTAGGCCAGTAACATCTGGACCAGAGATCATTGGCATACACAGGTGAAAATAAATACTCTCATCTACTCTTCAAGGAAAGGAAAGGAAAGAAGCTTGGAGGATTGGCAAATTGAAAGGTCACGTTTCAACAGTTTATAATACATTATTTCTTGTAAAAGATTTAACTGACAGCAACTAACAGCATACAAAGTGCAACAACTTCGTGACATCACATTTATTCTTTTTACGAGCCTCATTTGGTGCTTTAAAGGTTCTAAAGATCTTTAAAATATAGAGTTCCTATAAGCAATGAGATAATGAAATAAAAAGTGTAACCAGAATGCAAAAAACACTGAAGATTAAAATTTTGAAAATTGAGAAAATAATGCCCCAAAGTAGAATTTAAAGGTCAAAAACTGTTTTCATTGAAATAGACTACATTATAAATAATAAGAGTTTCTAGGCCTGTTAAAAAATGACAACTCTTTGTCTTTTAAGTCTAAACAGGTTTTTATACATTAAATGACCACCATGAAGCAGTTAACTCAGCTTCTAAAGGGTTACCAAATTTACAGTCAGAACCCCAACTATTTGTGGGATAAAGTCCACAGAGAAAGTACACTATTGCTCCTTTGGGGTGGGGAGGAAAATGGTGGGCACAGAAGAACAATTTATCACCCCATAAAAGGTTCATTTGTAGTCTTAAATGCCAAAATCTATATTTTAATAAAACAGTGGTCTCTAGCTGGTCAGTAGCCTCTTAATCATGGTCAAAATATACAACTATTATGTCCACAAATTGTTAGTTTTCTTGCTATACTTTTTAGGGGAAAAAAAAAAGCAGCCCTTCTTGCTATGGAGTTATTTTTCAGGAAATGATGACAAGCATTCTAAAGGATAAAACAAAACTGAAGGATGAAGAGACCAAAGCATTTATATTTTTAAAGAAAAAGACTATGCACTTCATAAATCAGTTGTTATCTACAAGGTCTGCCTTCTCTTTAAAATATGGCTGGCACCAATAAGCTTTTTGGCCAAGAAGCTATAGCAATAAGCATTTGGAATTAATTTTACAAGGTCCTTTGCTGATCTTTATTGTTACTGATAGCTCCCTTCTTCATTTTATTCCATAAAATCAGTTCATAGAATATGGAATTTTTGAAATACCTATCATTCTCTGTAAGGACCCTTAGGACTTCATACATAAATTCTTCTAGAAGAGAGTTTAATTATTTGTTCTTAAATTTAAGTCGAATACAAATATGATACATTCAAATTGTAGACTACTGTAACATTCAAAAGCACAAGGTGAATTATAAGGACCTAGAAAAAAACTGCAAGATCTATTGTCAAGTTAAAAAAAAAAGCAAGTTGCAAGATATATTAGTAAGATACAATAAAACTATATATGTATGTATGTGTTCATGTGTATGAAGCAGCTTACAGAAGTTAATTTGGGAAAAGGATGGTAGAATTTTAAAATATGCTAAAAATTATATTTCTGAATCATATGACTCCTGTATAAATATGTTCATGCTATAAAAGTATAACTAGAAAGGTTATTACAATGTATGTTTGTGATCTGCTTAAGTTCATCCAAAAAAATCACCATATTAACATTGTAAAATAAACCCTTGATTTTCACAGGCAAGAATAAATAATGGTATATTATACCACTCCAAACTCTTTCACATTTGGGTGCATGAAATTATACCCCTTATTTAATAATGGTGAACCTGCTATAACCTTCAAAATACACATTCATTTAACTATCTCTTGCCAGTATTTTCTGTTTCCACATGTCCAATGGTGCTTTCCTTCACTCAAATCATAAGGTAAAAACTAAATAAAATATTGCTTGTGCAATAAAGCATTTCTTAAAAAGTTTTGACTGGTTTCAACACCTTCTGGTGTTAACCAGAAGTTCTGTTGGCTTTCCTGGTCTCAGTCACTCTTTGCCACGACCTAAAACCAACATATGGCCTATGCATTCAGCAGCCTGTACCGATAGAACTCATCAAATCACAAACACCATTGAACCCAAGCTCTTCAAAGCTAGCAACTGCACAAAACACCCACCCTGACAGTCGTCTTCTTGATGAATTCCTGCACCTGAAAACCTCTTCTTACCAGCTCCAGATCCATCCACTACTCTGGATCTGTTTAGCCCTTTCTCCAAAAGGTAACTCTTCTGCTTCAGAAAAGACACTTCCTTGGGGGACTCATGGTCCAATACTTTCTCCCCTAGCCTGTAGTCACTCAAGCTTGTTATCCTAAATTTAATTGGGATTCACATCAACTCAATTAACTCATTTTTTACATAAAAAAAATTTTAGTTATATATTTAAAAAATCAAAGCAATACAGAAAGTTTAGAAGAAAATATAGAAATCTTCTTTCTCACCAGAATGACACATCAGGCTTACTCCCCAGAATAGCCACTGTGTTAACCATTTCTTCCATATACTTTATAAAATCTCTACATAAATGAGTTAAAAGCCATTAAAATACCAGCAGGATCACAAAATATGTAGTTAAAACTGCAAAAACTGTATGTTGCCTAAAAAATAGGTATATCAAAATTTACTAAACATAGGCCTTTTCTACCAATATGGGATTTAAATTCTTGTTCAAAATAAAAGACTCTGGTTTAACCAACTTACATGCTTCTAAATTATAGTGCCTCCTCAAAAATGTAACCTGCCAAATGAGGACTGCCAATATTGGTTTAAGTAAAATTACTGTCCAAGTGAAACTGTGTCCAAATGCAGTCTGACAGGGCTGTCATTTGGCAAGAAGGGCCTACTTCAGCCAAGAAACAGAAAAATAGGCTGGGTACCCTCTCTCCTATCCTCCCTTAGCACCCCTATACAGGCTCTAATATGGCATTTTTCAAATTACACTGTAGTCCAGCTCAACAGTTCATTCCAAACATTCCCCCAAGAACATTGTATGTGCTAGGAACTGTGCCAGGACCTGAAAAACTAAACCTTTAATACCCACTCCCTATTCTAGAGGCACTAAGCCAGAGGGGGCCACGTGGCACTAATGGGGCATCATAACATAACAGAGAATATTAGAGGTGTGTGCTGGGTACCATTAGAGGCAGAGAAAATAAGATCATTTCTGTTCTGCCACTGATTTTTTTTTTCCAATCTGTGAATTCTCCCTTCCTAACATGATGCTGGACACATAGTGGAGTTTTAATGCTTGCCAAGAGAACAAACACAAATGCCATTTAAAAACTTGAGTTCTTTAATATTTGCATGCTTAGTATGAGATTGATAGCACATGCACCGAGTTTCTAATATTAAAAAAGCAATACTTGCTATAAAGAACTGTAAATCACATTGGGAGGATGATGGTTAAACACCTGAAAACAATTACACTAGAAAATGTAAATATCAAAGGAAGGCAGGTGATATGTGCCATGCCAGTTGGAGCCTCGGATGAGCAACTTTTGAAGAGACAGGAAAAAACAGAGTCATGGTAAGGGTGGCCTCACCTAGAATAAGACAAAGGAAAAAATTCACATGGCTTATGATGAGTTCAGTGAAGAGTGGCTTGGATGAAGTATAGGTTAGGTGGTGAAGACAGTTCCCTAAAAATATGTACTTTTAAACTTTATGTTGCCAAAATCATGCATTTCTAAGATGCATCATTGCAGCAATCTCATTAAAGTATGGATTGGTGAAAACTATGACCTAAAAGCTAAAATTACATTTTTTTGGTAATATAGTCGAGTAATGCAAAGCTCATTAGAAGCTTCATTATATTTCAACTTAAAGAAAACAAAGGATAGATCTAGATGTTTCAGGACTCAATGTTTCATATTTCCAATTAAACTCACTGAGTGATGACACAGAAACCTAGCATTACTAAATTAGCTGAGAGGTTGTGGATAGGGGTTATGAATTATTTGTATT